GTCTATTTTGGGGTCCCCCTATTCTGGGAAACTACCATATAGGGGTCATAATGGGGATAATGGAAAAGAAAATGGAAACTACTATTTAGGGTTTAGGGTTTAGGGTTTTGGGGTTATCATGGGGACAATGGAAAAGAAAATGGAAACTCTAGGGATCATAGGGTATATAGTGGGGGTTATATTGGGGTTGAGGCTTTTACGCACTGGGGGTTGAGGCTTGGTCTCAAATCAATATAACCCCTCTATATACCCTATGATCCCTGGAGTTTCCATTTTCTTTTCCATCATCCCCATTACAACCTCTATATATAACTATATACCACCACAGCCTCAGGAGATTCTGCGGTCGTTTCTCGTTCTCTCTGCGTTTGTATGCGTGATGGGTACATTTACTCCAGTTGCTGTTTACTTTGCAAGAACCCTGCAAATTGCATGCAAGGCTTTGGAGTAATTATTCTTGAGTTGCTGATAAGCATCATTCCTGCTTGACGCACTTTATGGTCACATCAAGTACCCCAAATCATTTGAGCTATGGTCTGAACTCCTAAGTAGTCCCTACATAATCCCCTTTAAGGAGTTTAGGCTATATCTAATTTGTCCAGAAAGCTAGGTCTTTGACCGGCTGCTGCGGTGGCGCTCCGGAAGACGAGGACATTGCGGGAAGAAAGCAAATTATCTTAAATGCTTTTGGGAATCTGTTGAGCGAATCTAGTACTGGCGTGTATAGGTTGGCCTCAAGTGTGCCATCGTGATCCACCATGGACAACTAACTAGCAGCTAAGCCAGCGGCCGCCCCGAAAGATGTTATGTCAATACTAGCACCCGCGTGGTAGGGGGCACGTGTTGGCAGAAGGGGCGTCGCAAGGCACCGCAGAATCCCCCAATGTGCAGGTTGGGGAAAGACGGTTTTGCAGGAGAAGTGCGGGCGGATTGAGTGCAAGGAGGTGAGGGAGGGACAGGGCAGGACGGAGATGACGGGTTGCCTGACAAGGCAGACGGAGGTGCTTATGGGCAACAAGGCCTCTGGAGGCACGCAAACCGCAAAACCGAACGGCAGGAGCAGAACAAAACACAAGGTACCCTAGCATTTTTTGGTTCGACTTTCTCAATCTGTCATAATTAAAACGTATTGCAGTGCTGAACATCCTTGATCAGGAGTTTGAAGAAGCTGTGAAGGAAGGCGGAGACGCTGTAATGTCCAACACACTTGCAGCAAGTTGTATGTGGGTAATTCAAAGGTGGCCCGATGCGACAGACCCGCAAAGATCAGCTGAAGAGATCTGGGCACCACAGTTGCAGAGAACCTGCCACAGGGTTTGTGTAGCGCCACAGGGCAGTGAAGGGAGGATTCATTACTTTACTTGTCCTTCTTGCTCGGTTAGGCTTCCTCTTTCTAAAGTTGTTGCACCTAAACCCTAAACCCCTAAACCCCCCAACCCTAAACCCTTTGTTGCGTCCACAGTTGTCTCAGTGGGATTTGTTAAGGAGCTTAGCATCTATTTCTCGCCTATCACCAAAGAGAGATGGTAGTTTCTCTGCTAGGGGGACCCCAACACGGACCTCACAATACTATAGAGTCCTTATGATAGGGGCCCCCAAGCTGGTTCCCCGATATACTTCTGGGAAAACATCATCTAAAACCTATGATATAACATTTATGTAACCCACTACATCCTCTCTCAAAGGTACTTTCAATTCTGGACAAGCCTAAACCCTATGATATACAACTACATAACCCCGTCTATCCCCCTTCCAAGGTACCCCTAATTTTTGGAAACCTTAAGCCCCTATAATAATATACCCCGATATCACCTCTATCCCCCTTTCAGGATACCCTAATTCTGGGAAACCTTAAACACTATACCATACTTCTATATAGCCCCTAGTGCCCCCGTTAAAGACACCCCTAATTTTGGGAAACCCATTTAAAAGATGGGAAGGGGACACTCAGGTCGCAGCTCTCCGCGCTCTCCGAGGGTAACTCTGACTCAAAGGTGCTGGCATCCGGAGAGGCAGGGGACTGATGGGGGAGAAGAAGGGGTTACTGTTGATGGATGAAATCTTGCACCACCTTAAGTCCTTAATGTCCTAGGAGTTGCAGTAGTTCAGGGGCTGTAGGTGGTGCAGGATTTCCTCCATCAACAGTATTAAGGGGCATACTAGGAGTACAGGGGTAGTTAGGGGAGATGTTAGGAGTATAGGGGGTATTAAGGGGTATACTAGGAGTTCAGACAAGAGCTGACGTACTCAACTTGTCCTTAATTTGGAAACCCGGCTTTTTGCAGCAAGTCGAAATACAGTCATGGTAACAACCATTACTAGCAGTCAGAATAATAGCAGCAATGGCAAATAAGTCAGTAGTAATGATATACTACTATTGAGCAGTCATGTGCTGATTTCAGCAGATGGCATGATGTATAGTCCCCCTTAAGTAGATAGAAATGGGGTATATGGGGATCTTATTATAATATACCCCAAAGCTATATTCTATCTACTTAAGGGGGACTAGCTTGATACTTAGCCCTGGAGGTGTACTGGCCGGAGGCTGGTGCTTTCTTTAGCATTGCTATGGTTGCTGACGCTGAGTTGCAGGGCAGTGTGGCAGCACAAGTGTTTCTGGCCGATCTTGGCCAAACTGCTATTTTGCAACGATGTCCGTGTGTTGCTGGCAGTTTTTTCATACTAACTTCTGGGACGAGCGGTCTCTCCCTCATCATGCCCGCCATTCCCCTTCTCTTTGCTGATTTTTTCTTGTCTCTCTACACCTTCCTATTGTTTGACACTCGCCCTCACTCCCTTCCGTTTTTTCCCTCTTCCTCTCTCTCTCTCTCTCTTTTTCTCTTTCTCTCTTCCTCCTTTTGTATGCGGATGCATTGCGTCTCAGCATGACAGGATGACCTCCCATCAGAGACCAGCTCGAGAATGAGCTTTGGATGCATGCTTTTTGACCAAGATGCTGTGTTATGAGACAGCCCGTAGCTTCATTTCAACCTGGCAGATTCAGGAGCGTGGACGCTCTTGCTGATCATCCATCCGCTGTGCCGTCGGACGACCTTGAGCAGGTAAAGCTGCACAAGGCGTGAACACCTTGGCAAGTCGAGGGTTGCACTCGCCAACCAGGGCCTCACCTGACCTGCAGATGGCACAATCCGCAATCATATAATCCCAGCTTCCATTTCATTTTCCATTTTCTTTTCCATTTGATTCTCCATTATTGGGGGATAATATCCCAATATAAACCCCAATATATACCCTATAACCCACAATAATCCCAGTCTCCATTTCATTTTCCATTTTCTTTTCCATTTGATTCTCCATTATCCCTATATAACCCCAATACATTACTCTTTCAGGCGGCGGCTGCTGAGGGCCCTCGCTCGCCGAACGACCCTCGCGGCCAAGTGCAGGCGTGGATTTTTGGAAGGGTCCGGAAACTCCGTGTGAGCTAACAAAGGACATCGCTACAAGTAGCCAAGGTGGTACTTTCCCAAAATAGGGGACACCATATAGACCCCAATGTATTCTAATCATTAATCCTTGTTTTGGGGACCCCAAACGGCTACCCGTCAATTTTAAAAACTCTATCCCCCTATATAACATCCTATATCACCCTTTAATAAAGGTACCCTTAATTTTGGGAAACTCTAACCCCTGTATCCCCTTATATAACCCCCTATATCCACCTTTAAAGGTACCACTAATTCTGGGAACCCTAAGCCCTAGACCCTAAACCCCAAACCCCAAACCCCAAACCCTAAACCCTAAACCCTAAACCCCAAACCCTAAACCCTAAACCCTAAACCCCAAACCTTAAACCCTACACCCAAAATGCAGTGCAGGAGCTTGGGCAGCAGGGTTCGGCAGAAGATCTCTCCACGGAGGCGAGCAAGACGAGCAAGGAGTGGCTGCACCCCCAGGGGTTAGGGGGTTTATGGGGGCTTATGGGGGTTTATGGGGGTTTAGGGTTTAGGGCCTTTAGGGGGTTTAAGGGGTTTTAGGGTACAGTGGGTTTACGGGGTTCAAGGGGTTTAGGGGGTTTAGGGGTTCAGGGGTAGGGTTTAGATTTAAGGGGGTGCATCCAGGGCTAGTTACTGGTTGTCAGCAGGGCCTAAGGGAATAAAGTCCCTACATAGTCCCAGTACAATGTTTCACTTTGTGGATTTTCCTGTGCTAACCGATTATGATTGCTGTTTTTGTAGTATTGTTATTATCAATATTGTGATTGGTAATGTGGCGATTCTCATCACCGTCATGATTATTGCTGCTATCATCATCATTATTATTATCCTTAATAATATCATTACCATTATTATTATTATTATCATTATCATTATTATTAAATTAGTTTTAGTATTCGTATCACTATTTTTGTCAGTCTGGTGCAAGGACGAGGCTGGCGAGGCAAAGGCGGCTTGAGGTAGCTCCTCAGTCGTTAGGCCAGCCTGACTTGATATCAGGATATGGGGAAAATACGGGGATACAGGTACCCGTTGGGGTAATATTAGGGTTATATAGGGGGTATATGGGTCTAATAAAGGAAAAGGCAACAGAAGATGACATGGAAACTGGAATTGTTAATTATCTTGATAGTGCTGATGATATTGTTGCATGTCAGCGTTGCCAGAACATGTTGGGTTTAGGACCGGGTGCGCAAGCAGGAAGATAATGGCAGATTGTCTCACCTTGGCGCCATGTCCGGCGACCTTTTTTGGGAGAGCATCCAATCCAATCAATTCGCGCACTTTGCAGGTGCAGCGAGCACACCCACTGGCAAGTGCGGCTGTTAACGTTGCAAACGGGAGAAAAGTACTCCGTAATTTCGTAAACTTCCCTTCGCAAGTGGAGCACAGGTTCAATGTGCTTGCGCCAAAGCTCAGCCCCCGTGCACCAAGTGCCACAGGGGGCGACTACAAGCATCAAACCAATTCGAAGATTTGCGAGCGTTCGTAGTTCGTGCTGCTCCGAGAGATACGGCTACATGAAGTGAAGATCCGACATTGGAGCTGGTGATGCCACGCAGCTGGGATCTCACGAAGCATGGCAACTGACCTTCAACCTCCCGTGCATGTTACGGAAAAAGTTTGGGCATGAATCCGTGTTAGGAATCCTGGTCCTACTCAGTGTTCCAGCTTGGCTTTGCTGTACTTCATCTCCTGCCCTAGGTGACTTATGCAATCTGTGATGTGAGCGGGGCATTTTGGGTGTGTGACAAGTCCAGGAGGAGGACAGCCCGGGTGGAAACGATGCTCCGCCAGAGTACCTTGTTCCCACGCCAAGAAGATTCGATGTTGGAAGCTTGGGGCGTGTGTGTAGCAGTCTGTCTTATTAGATTAGTGGTTAGTAGGGAACAAGCGAATATAATCCCTATATTATCCCGAGCGAAGATATTCACCTATTCCCTACTAACCACCAGTAAGCAGTAGGAGTGTTAGAGTGTAGCATGATGTCGCCGCTTTGAGTGGCTGAGTTGCATTAAGGTTAACGCCTTCGCAGCAGGCTGGCCAATGCTACGTGTCATGATGATCAGTAACATAGGGATAATAAAAGAAAACGGAAACTGCTATCGTATATTGGTATTATATAGGGATAATGGAAGAAAGGAAACTACTATAGTATAGTAGTCATGATAGTAGTGCTATTATTGGGTTAAGAATGATAATTAGTAATAACAATAATAGAAACAATAACAGTAACTGGTAACAGTAACAACAGTAGGAATGATAGTAGAAAAGCTGCGCTGTGTGGATGGGAGGATCCGACCCACTGACTCGGACGATGAAAACAGTTTCGACCATGCGCTCGTTCTGGGTGGCACTCTCAGTGCATTGATCATAGCTTTTGTTGCGCAACAACCTCTTGAGAGGACCACAGGGATTTCAATTTTGGTCAGTTCTGACTCTTGAGAGCGATCGCATGTTCATAGCTTATTGTTGTGCTTTGACCCTTGGGCTGCCTGCAATGCTTTGACTGCAGTACGTAAGAGTCCACAGTCTTATTTAACGCCTTTTCAAATTGCTTTGCTTGACACAAGACAACTTTAAGTATCCAGCAAGCCCTTTTCCAGGATATATGAGGATAAACCTCATGATGGAAACTGATTGAAAGCATTGGGACACAGCCACGGGAGGGGTGCTCAGTGGGCGGAGAGGAAACAGTGTAGCTGTGAGTATATGCGAAATCAGCGAGCGGTCTTGCCAGCAGCAGTGGAAGGGCATGAGCGAAACGACGCGATCCTCGCTTTGCAGCAACCGCGACAGTGACAGGGGTCGCCGGCTTCACGTGCTGCATGTCGGTTTGGCACATGATGCAAACTATGCCAGAGCAGCAAAACCAGACTGTGGGAAGCTGGCATAAGAGTTTTCTGGCATAGTGTTGTTGCGAGACCATAGGCGCAGAACACACACCGAAGAAGGGCGCATGATAGGGCTCCGCCTGCCAGGAGAGCAAGGTTCGCGAAAATGCAGGCCGCAGCCTCAGCAGCGTGGAGTTCCAGAAGCTCGCGAAATTGGGATCTGCAGGAAGCAAGGATGGGGAGCGAGAGGCCAGATCGTGCTTCAAACCCCCAATGTACCATGGGGATAATGGAAAAGTACGTGGAAGTATTGGGGGTATATGGGGATACTGGAAAAAGAACATGGATTTTTTGGTGTTATATAGGGATAATGGAAAAGAACATGAACTACTTGGGGGTATATAGGGATAATATAAAAAATGGAAACTACTACATTATAGAGGGTATATATTGAGGTATATAGGGATAATGTGAGGTATATAGGGATAATGGGAAAGACAATGAAAGCTACTACATTGTAATAGGGTATCATATTAAGGGTATACAGGGATAATGGACAAGAAGATGGAACTACTACATTGCAATAGGGTATAATACTGGGGTATACAGGGATAATGGAAAAGAAAATGGAGACTACCACATATATTGAGGGTGTAATTGGGTATATATATATATATTATTTTGGGGTTATACAGGGATAATGGACAAGAACGTGGAAAAGATGGTGGCAGGGCAAGTGCTCTTGGCTTGAAGGCTCGGTGGTCCAGGGTGTCCAACGTCGAGTCCCGAAAGAATGCCCAAGGCCAATAGATTCCTATAGTCTTTTTGTACTATTCTGGAAGTTTCTACTATAATATAATATACCATTATAGTAGAATATCTTACTAGAATACAATATACACAAACAGTATGATATATTACTACAATAATATATCATACTACTATAGTATAATAGTTTCCTCAAGTATGATGTACATAATATTAATATAGTATACTATATTAGATGGGTAGGCGATTTGAGCGGTATGCAGCTGACATTGGCCAGGCCCTACCTGGCTGAAGAAAGAGCTGACAAAGCTGCAAGCACATGTGGACCGCCCTTCCGTTTGTCACCCACACGGTCGTGAGCTAGTACTTCTATTGGTTGGTAGATGTTTAAGGCCACAACTCTAAGTACCATTTTATCATACGGGTTATATAGGGATGACGGAAAAGAACATGGAAACTACTAGATAGAGTCAGGTTGGGGGGGGGGTAGGGGGCAAGTAGGATTGCCGGGAAATAGACAGAGAGGTATCGATCTACGTGGATCAGAGTTGATGTGTGTGAGGATGCCAACAAGGAGCGCTTGCTGGAGTTGAGCCTACGTTCCTCGCTTAGGGCTGTGTAGCCATTATAGTCTAAACTCCTAAAGGGGGTTACACAGGAGATGGTATAGGGGACTACTACAGGGGTCATTAAGGGATACTCGGAGTTTAGACTATAGCTCATTGGAACACAACTTGCAATGTGCATCAATGTGCTGCTGCCACATACGCAAGGCCTTCATGGCCAAGATGACGCTGCCCTCGATGACGAGCACAGCACCCGCTGCTCAAGGATGACCTTGGAATGACATTGACCAGATTCCCTAAAGCCTAAACCCTAATTAATGTCGCAACCTGATAGCTAGGAGCCCTTCCTCCAAAAGCAGCTGCACCATCAGCTCGGACTCAGACTTCTCCAAAAGTGGGAGGCTCAGCTGAGGTGTATGTTAGCGGCTGCCTGTGTTATCGCGTAGGAGCGCGGGTCAGGCAGAGATAGAATTATCAAGACATGAAAAAACCCTAGTAAAACGATGGGCTTCCCAAAAGCGATACCTCAAAATGGGCGACTTATAAGGATCCAATCCAAAAGCAAAGATGTAGGGCGTCCAGGCGAGGGATCTGGTAAAACACTGCAAAACGATAGGGATGAACACAGCAGTGTGCCAAAACTCGGTAAACTCTCAAACGATAGGCCCCCCCCAGAGCAAGAAGGGAGCTAGGCTAGACACTAGAACTTGCAAGGTTCGCTTTGGTGTTTTCCGCAATAAGCACCATTGAATTTTGGTGTCTATATTGGGGTCTCCAAGCCCTGAAAGCTGAACCCTAAACCCTAAACCTGAACCCTAATTCTCTCAACCCCTAAAACCCCTACGCCCTAAACACTAAAATCCTAAACCCCTAAACCCTAAACCCTAATTAAACTCAATATAACCCCTAAATCCTAAACCCTAATGAAAGCCAACATAACCCCTAAACCCTAAACCCTGATTAAGCCCAGTCTAATCCTTAAACCCTATATAACCCTTAAACCCAATATAATCCTTAAACCCTATATAACCCTGAAACCCAATATAATCCTTGAACCCAATATAACCCTTAAACACAATATGATCCTTAAACCCAATATAACCCTTAAACCCAATATAATCCTTAAACCCAATATAATCCTTAAACCCGTTTATGGAAAATATGGAAACTGCCAGCTGAGGTCAGGATGCACAAGAGGATGACGAGCTCCACACGCCCCTCATCTGAGTAGTATTTCTGTGCTATAGTACCCACTATAGAGTAAGCTCATATCCTCCTTTTGGGGTGTATAAAAAGACACTACTCATCTTACTGGTTCTTAGTAGGGAGGAAAGGAAAGATGATCTAGGGTTTAGGGGTTAGGGGTTTTAGGGTTTAGCATTAGGGGTCTAGAGAATGGTGATTAGGGTTTAGGGTTTAGAGATTAGGCTTTAGGGTTTAGGGCTTAGGGATTAGGGTTTAGGGCTTAGGGTTCAGGGCTTAGAGTTTAGGGATTAGGGTTCAGGGATTAGGGGTTTAGGGATTAGGGGTTTAGGGATTAGGGGTTTAGGGTTGAGGGTTTAGGGTTTTACGGGTTAGCGAATATAATCCTTATATGATTTATTTCTATATTCCCTAAAACTCCCAGTAAGAAAGGTCATTTTGCCGCGGCTGTTTTTGTTGGGTGTTGTTTTTTGAGTACCTACTTCAATGGCGAGAGTAAACCCAAAACCCTAAATCCTAAACCCTAAGCCCTAAACCCTAAACCCTAAACCCCAAGCTCTAAGCCCTAAACCCTAAGCCCTAGACTACCTACTCCACCTCAGGAGTCTCAAGTCCCTGAGACGTGATTTCAGCAAGGTGAACAGGAAGGCTCAGGGTGTGACAGAGCAAGCTTGTTACATAAGTCGGGTTTAGGTTCTAGGGTTTAGGGACTAGGGCTGAGGGTTTAGGGGTTAGGGTTTAGCGGGAATTTCCAGTCATAATGGAGAATCAAACGGAAAGGAAAATAGAACATGACACGGACACTGGGGATAATGTTGGGTTTAGGGGTTTCCAAAAATTAGGGGTACCATTGTGGGGATCCCCATAACAAGGATCATGGTATATTGGGGTCTATGTTGGGTTCCGTTAATTTTGGATGCTGGCATGTTGACTTGTTGCAGCAGCCTTGCTTGCAGAGGGTTCTTACAAGAGCGAGGGTCTGTTCAACAGCGAATGCTGTGATCCGTCAGACCGCGGCACTCTTCGAGGAAGTTTTGGAGAGGCCCAAATGCTGGCTTGACGTTTTTTGTGTACACAGGCATCTGCCAGCTTGCCTACATACTATAGTAGTTTCAACTTTCTTTTCCATTATCCCAATATAACCCCAATATGATTTAGTAGTTTCCATTTTCTTTTCCATTATCCCAATATAACCCCAATATGATTTAGTAGTTTCCATCTTCTTTTCCATTATCCCAATATAACCCCAATATGATTCAGTAGTTTTCCATTATCCCAATATATAACCCCAAGACAGGCATCTGCCAGCTTGCTTAGCAATCTCATTGAGGTGCCTGCCTAAAGAGAAGCTGCGCTCTCGCCTGAGTGAGATGTTCTGGATCCCAAACGGGCGAAGATTTTTGTAGTTTCCAATTTATTTTCCATTATTCCCTACATACTTTAGTAGTTTCCATTTTCTTTTCCATTATTCCCTATATAACCCCAAGATACTATAGTAGTTTCCATTTTCTTTTCCATTATTCCCTGCATAACCCCAACATGCTATAGTAGTTTCCATTTTCTTTTCCATTATTCCCTACATAGCCCCAAGATACCACAGTAGTTTCCATTTTCTTTTCCATTCTTCCCGTGGCGGATGGTCAGTGCACCCGCGCTGAGGAATGCACGAGGACTCCCTAGGTCAAGTGCCTTCCCTGCATGCGGGGAACCAAGATGACCACATCGTTTGCCGCAATGCTGCGGGTTCTGCTGCAAGGTGACTTTCTGATTCGCTGAAGAGTCCTTGACCCTGGATTTAGTTTTTTGTTTGGCAGTTTTTTACCAGAATCCAGATCACCCTGACTCATCTCATCGAACTGCACCACGTGCCAACGAAGAAGTTCATGAGATGGGGTGATCCAGAAGCATGTCTCCTTTGCAAGCTTAATTTGTGTAAATGTGTGCAAATGTCATCCTTGCGCATGGAAAAGGATCGTGGCAGGAGCGAGTCTTCGTTCTTTGAGATGGCTCAGACACAAATTCATCAACATGAAGCATCTGGTAGGATCAGCTGCCCTCGGATGTCCAATACTTCAGCATCAACAGGTCATCGCCGCAGCCTGTTTGCCCAAGTCATGGCGAACAGGACTTCTGAGGGCTTTACCTGCGTAGCCCCGGGATGTCCGAATACGACACCCTAATCCTGCAATAAGACATGAGACTTGCAGCGTAAGAGGAAGCCAAGCTTGGGGGACAGCCAGCGCAGATCATACATGGGAGTTGCGCAACTAGCAAGCGAATGCACAACATGGAGCTTGCAGCTAGACGCAGCGCGAAGAGGCAGGTGTACTTGGACAAATACTTGGGAGATGCAGTTGAAGCAAAAGTTTGAGCAGCGGGCAATTCTGGTCCATACTTCCAAAACTGGAGGCCATGCAGAAGCTGACGGATCAGAATCATTCAGTATGCTGTCCTTTCGAAGCCTGCTGCACGAGAGGCACCGAGAAAAGCAAGGCACTGCTTTAAATGCTTCAGCATCATGGCCTTCTCTGAAGAGATCCTTTTTGGAATGCTTTTGGATATCTTCAGCTTGAGTTTGACTTGCGTTTTACGAAGCCCTTGCGCAGCCGCTTGAGTTTTGTGGTGGGGCCCTGGCTTCGGAAGTGCTGCCATGATGTTTGACAGCAGAGATGCTACCTTTGGGGCACGTGGGCGACCCGGGTCTGCCGAAGCAGGAGATACTGTTGAGGCTAACAATCATGCATGACATTAATTCATGCGTTCATATACTATAGTGCCATACTTCCCAATGTATGAGGTACTTTGGGTCATGCAGGATTTTTAGTACCCAGCATACCAGCAACCTCTTCGTAGAAGCATAGCATGTGCGTCGAATGCATGTCTCAAGGTGCACCTCGTGTGACCTCAAACTCTTATGCGCCAGAAACTCAGACTTTTATTACCATTACTATGAATATAGCGTAGTTGCTAGGCTCAGGCTTCAAGCGAAGTTCGTTCAGATGTCTCCATGTTTCCAGGAATGGTTCCAATCAGAACTGTGGGAACGTGATCTCCGACATCCCCAGTACACGCCCCGCCCTTGAATGTGGTGTATAGCATGTCAGATTCTGAGGTCCTCAGTTCAACTGAGTTCAAGTGAGTGGAATTTTAAGTCGGATGCAAAAGTCCAATACGGAGTAGTGACAATAATTACCGACAATGGAGACTCAGGTGAATTATAAGGATTGACAGATATTGACGGTAGAAAGACTTTTCTTAACGCATTACAAATCACAACCACAAGTCACAACTAAAATGATACTCAGTAGATAACCCGTAAATAATCCAAGTCAAGATGTATAGGTACTATGGTCCCCTATGAGCACACCAGAGTGTTCCCCGAGGTGTTGCGGCGCCACCGGGAGGTAAATCCTCGATCTGCCTCGGTTGGGATGACAGGCCCAGCTTGGCGGAACGTGTTGTGTTGTGGTTTTCTGGAATCTTCTTTTTCATGGTGCGTATGTGTTACATGTGTTCACAGCAAGAAGCATTCTCAGTTCTGTGCTTCATGATTCTGGACTGCGGACGGAAGGACAGAAAAGAACGTAAGCTTGAAACAGCAGAGCGGCTAGCGAAAACAAGAAGAGAAGAGAAAGGAACGAGAGCTGACACCCCTCGATAAACTTGAAGACAGGGGTCGATCAACAGCTACAGAGCAACAAGGGTCGGGCCTGCGTGCTCGAAATCTTGCTCTCGCATAAAGCGTGCATGTTGGCCAAGTCACAGGCACATGTTGGCTAAACCTCTGGTGCGGAGGCATGCTCTTACTTTTCGTTCTAAATCGATCTCCAGTGCGCGTCCTGACAGTTCGCTCTCGGGTACGAAGCCAAACATACCTTTCATCAAATTCATGGCGACCCTTTTGGAGTGTCTCTTCACAGGCCGCCAGCTGGCCGAGCTGCAGGCACGCTCCAACGCTCGTGCATGGATGTGCCGGGGGGGGTTGGGGTAGGGGTAGGTAGCATTGGCATAATACAGGGTAATATAGGGATGATGGAAAAGAACATGGAAACTACTATTTAGGGTTTAGGACTGGGGCATGCAATCTGCCGGGACGGGCGCATGTTGGAGAGGTTGGAGACACCCTAAACCCTGAACCCTAAACCCTGAACCCTGAACCCTAAACCCTAAACTCTGAACCCTGAACCCAAAACCCTAAACCCTGAAAAACCCTGAACCCTGAACCCAAAACCCTAAACCCTGAACCCTGAACCTTAAACCCCCAAATCCCAAAACCCTAGACCGCGTCTGTCAGGCAGGCCTACGGATGAGCCGCGCCGAGTCCAAAGCCAAGACCAAGGCTAACACACAGGTAATATAGGGCTAATATAGGGCTGATATAGGCGTTATATAGGGCTAATATAGAGGTTCTATCAGGGTTTAGGGTTTGGGGTTTGGGGTTTAGGGTCTAGGGTTTAGGTATATAGGGGCTATATGGGGCTAATGTAGGGTTTAAAATGGAAACTACTATAGTGGGCATTTAGGGTTTAGGGTAGGTAATATTGGGCTAATATAGGGCTAATGTAGGGGTTATATAGGGATAATGGAAAAGAAAATGGAGACTATTATGATAATATCTGGATAATATAGGACTAATAAGGGCATATAGAGCGATATAGGGTTCTATGGAGGTGACAGAGAGCTAGAGGCGCTGTTGATGATTAAGGCCCAGCAACATCATTTGGGAGGCGAAGCCCCGCGCAGAGATTACAGGCAGATACAGCCCGAGACCCTAAGGGTGCAGTTTGGACTTATGCCTGTGGCCACTGAACAGGCAGCCAGCCCCAGAAGATCAGGCAAGATGCATGACGGTAGTTTCCATTTTCTTTTGCATTATCCCTATATAGCCCTATAGCCTGTGTATACCCTAATATACTAGTAGTTTCCATTTTCTTTTCCATTATCCCTATATAACCCTACATTATCCTATATTATCCCAACCCTAAACCCTATGTAACCCATTATAGTAGTTTCTATTTTCTTGCCCATAATCCGAATATTACCTACGCGAAGCCGAGCAGGCTTATGGGACGCGGCCACGTGAGAGGCCTTTGGGCTGCCAAACCTTGAACCGGGGTTCAGGGTTTAGGGTTTCGCTGCAGCCAGTGCATGCGCCATCATGCGCCTGATGATTCCCCCTGGTTATATTGGGGGGGTTCTATTGGGATAATGGAAAATAAAATGGAAGCTACTATAGTATATAGGGGGATTTAGTGAGTGTGATGCTAGCACATTAACAGCCCAAGCAGCTCCGTTCGATGCAGCTAGATCCGCTCCTGCTAACAGTTAGTTGCAACATAAAATCAGACAGACATGTCTGCTTCATCGCTTCTACACCTGGCCCTGCCTTGTGCAGTTCGAACAGCTACGCCTCCGGGAACAGCCAGAACACGGGAAATGTCCTGACGGGCGCTCTCCACTAAGTTCTTTTGAAATGACGGCTGTAGATCCTGATGAGTTGTCCTTGAGTTGTTTACTTCACTCCTTAGCAACCTTACAGAACAGTGGAGTGACCAGTGAGGTCCCGACAACACGAGTGTTGAGGCGCAGCGCCTCAAAGCAACTTTGAAACCCTGAGAGCTTTGCGGCTAGGCCACCAGGAGGTGCTTCCCAGATGAGTCTGGCATGGGATACAGGCCCAACGGCTCCTCAGCTGTTCCAATCAGAAGTCGCTGCATGAAAGGCCCCCAAGGTCATGGCGTTGGGCGCTCAGCTTCGTGGCGTTGATGTGAAATGGTCTGATGCTTTGCTGAATAAAAGCACGTAAAAGCAGGCTGCGCCAGCTGGCCGACGTGGCCCGCAGGATGCTGGCGAGGTGCGAGCGCAGCTTTGCAACGTTCAGCGCATGCTGCATGCATCGCACACATCCTGAACAGCAACAGGCAGGGCGCGCGATTTTCTGCCTCGCGAGGCGTTTGGACAACGGCTACGCGTCTCATCGAACTCCTATGCCAACGGTGCAGATCAGCCAGAGACTTAGACTACACCATGCATGTTCACAGGCTCGGCAGCGTTCCCTGTGCTGCTCCCTAAAATCGACAGCAAGCGCTGATCAAAAGTCCTGATTGACCTCTTGGAGCCTGCCAGAGTTTCTCGTTGGATGTTGCTGAGGAATTGTGGGAACGTGCTGTCCGACACCCCAACGACAAGGGTGCTGAGGCCCACAGATGAGTTGGTGTTTAAAGAGGACACCTTTGGCATCATGTGGCCGCGTCTACATCTTTTCTGCTCTGTTGATGGGCAAATATTTCAAAAGTTGCAGATGCTGGCAGGTTGTAAGGTACGGGATGGAGCTGCACTGGGATAAATTTCTTGGACTTCAATTTTGACCCCAACTGGTGAGCGGATTGAACGAAATCTGGGTTAGACCACTTCGGCTCAGTCCTCAGTCATGATGAACTACCCGGGCATGAGCTTGGTCGTAGAATTGGGATGGCAAAAGCGGATTTTCTTCAACTGCAGAAAGTATGGAAGCACTCTGCACTGCCAACAGGCCGAAAAATCCAGATTTGCAAAGTTCTCATCGAATCCAAGCTGATGTACAGTTTGAGCAGTTTGTGTATGTCTGCAGCTGAATGTCGTCGTCTAGCTAGTTTCCAAAATCGATGTTTGCGGCGTATTCTTCGCATCCCCCTGCTTTCATTTCTCGCGCCTCGAATGCTGAAGCTCTTCGACGCACCCACTGTCACACTGCCACTGACATGCTTTTGCAGCGACAGCTCCATCTTTTTGGCAAAGCTTTGCGATCTCCATTCGAAAATGTTATGCCCCATGCGGCTTCTCCCTGGATCACTGCAGCCGGCAGCCAGCAGATTCATTAGAAGGATGGGCTGACTGATACGGGAATGGGGTACAACAATTGGGAATAAAGTTTTTGAATTTTTGGACGCATCGTGAAGTAGCCAGACTTGTGCGCAACCCCCTGGTCTGCGGCAAACGGTGTGCCGTGCCATGCGTGTCCATGCGCCGCCTGGCATGTGACTGACTGACTGACTGACTGACTGACTGACTGACTGCCTGACTGACTGACTGACTGACTGACTGACTGACTGACTGACTGATGGGCAAATATTTCACAACTGCGAACCCGCCAAGAGATGCCTAGCAAAAGCTCCTGTGGCGATTTTTGCCGTGCCCTACTGACAGGTTTGCTTGGCAAAGGTCTGGAGCAAAATCTTATTGCGCTTTTCTCGCAGAGCTCGTGTGATCCCTTATTCCAGGTTTTACAACCCTAAACCCTAAACCCTGGATCTTTGCTTTCTTGAGTCCATGCAGGCCTCCAGGCGGAGGCAGTTCAATAAATCTTGGCTGGGCGTCTGCGGCTCAGAATTTCGCTGTTTGACACGTGCATGTGACAAGAGATGTCTTCGTAATTGTGGTTAGTGCCTTTGCACATCATTTCAGGTAGATTCAGATAATCATGGTTTATCTTTCATGAGACTCCCGAGACCAGACGGGGTGCCACTGGGAAGAAGTTAGGCTTTTTCTGGAATGCTTGAACTTCTTGACCATCTGGACTCCTGTCATGCCAGCGAAACCTTCCCATTTGCACAGCTGGTTATGGTTCTGGAGAATGCTATACTGCCATGCTTTTTGTTTTCCACCACACGGCATGGGTGCCAGCCTACCAGGGCCTACCAAAGCGTCGTCTGGTGTCGCATCCAGGTCCAATTGCACATGGCAGGTAATCAAAATTATGGTCCCTTTTTGGGTCCCTATTATCATACGGCCCCTAATATTTAGGGTACCCAAAAAGGGACCATAATTTTGACAACCACCCACATTTGGCTCAGGTAGGCCATGGTCTCTCAGCCGTGACTGCGGTGAGCTGCAGCACGATGCTAATCTTTTGTCAAGCATCAGATGCATGAGCTTAGTTGCAGCCTTGCCTCTGCAAACAGGAGTACTAGGCCAGCTACTTCATTCCTGTAGTGATCTACCTGCTTCTTAAAAACATGACCTGGCTGCTGACGGAGACTGCAACTTGCAGATCTCCACCAATAATCTTCGTCAAATTCAGGACGGCCTTCCGGGCAGCGGCCTTGAAATCCTGATGCCACACTCTGCCTAACAGCCTATGGTGCTGTGCCTGTGTGGGCTGTCCTTACATCCGACGCATGCATGTGCAACAATCCTTACGGCATCTTTGAGCACTTTGGTGTTTTGTAACTGGCTACTTGCTATGCCTATCGGCGGGGCAAGAGTAGGTGTTGTCTTGTTCTGACTTCTGATTTGGGTATTGACAGGAATGCATGAAGAAGTTGCCGCTGCTGCTTTGAAACATCGCGCAGGCTGCAAACGCAGCGCGGTTAGTTCTGGCCCGATGTTGCGAGCGGCTTCGCAAGTTAGAGCGTCTTGCGGCGCGCAAGATTGAAATGAGGATGCAGAAAACTGCGAGAGTAGAGAGGTACTTGTTTGAAAGGGCCTGCCCTCCAAGTCACCCGCATTCCCTTGCGAAAAGCTTGTGTACAGGTAGCAACAGAGATCAGGATCATACGACACTTGAACCACAGATGACGTTCTAGCCAAAGATACTGTTGCTAGAATCTGTTTATATGCTGTTTTGGCCAATTCATCGTACTCATGCCATTCACTTTCCGTAGTAAGCAGGGAGTTGTTGGGTGTTAGTTGTTCGACAATATATATATATATATATGTAAAACCCCAGTATAGCCCCAATATACTATAGTAGTTTCCATTTTCTTTTCCATTATCCCAATATGACCCCTAGCCAGGTTTGTGCTTTGGAGGACCTTCAAGGCAGTTGCTGTGGTAGCAACTCAGGAGTTCCACGCCGCAGCATTTCCTCCCGTGTCCGCGAGAAGCCTCACCCCAGAGTTGAGCGATGATTGCCGCATGGGCTTTTCTAATTTTCTGCCGTGCTGCGGCAGTGTATCAGATAAGGGGCTATCAGCCGACGTGGCTTGACTGACCGGTTTTCGTAGACACTCATGAAACATGTCCAGGTCCTTTGATCCGAGTACCGGCCACTAGGTTCGAGGTTTGTATAGGTTTCCTGCAGAGAGGGCTTCAGCAAGTTTTCGCTTCCGATCTTTTTGGTGGATTTCGAAATTACACTCTGGGATTTAGAGTTTGCAAATTTGGGAGGGGGTAAAAACAACATAAGGGCGAGTTGTTTGTCTTCTGGACATTGCGGAAGATTGTTCATTACCTTGAGGTCGAACGTGGTGGCCGATGCCCGCATCGACCTGGATGTCATTGAAATGGCCCAGCATATGCGGAGCTTCATCGGAACTGGTCCAGCGGGCACAAGTACGTTACGAATGGACCTCGTGCAGCCCTGAGTTGGTGCTTGTTTTGTGTACGAATGTGTACTTGTGTCAGGTCTGTGCACTTGCCTTCCCAGACCCCCTAAAGGATCCAAAAAATGGAACCTCCTAATAATCCCCCAGTTTCCCCAATGTAGTAATGGGCTCATATTGGGGGGGGGTTCCATTTTTTGGATCCTTTAGATGATCTGGGTTGAGGCTGAGAAAATCTACGAAGAAGGGGGTCATGCCTGTTCACGAGCTGAAATCACACTGCCGCCTCTGCCCGTGGCTGTGAAATCTGGTGGCTCGATTGCGCACTTCAGTCGTGCAGGGTGAACATATTTACAATCATGCAGATTCCATCTTGCATGATCGGATGTACAGGCGGTAGCGCAATCATGAAGGGTGTGGGGTCTTTTGCAGCTCAGGCGACATTGTCTCCCAATCACGATCCAATGACTGGCCGCGCAGAGTCACGGTTCTCAACGATGCTCCACAAGGTTCAACGAGCCTGGTCGTGCTCTACACTTCGATATGGAGGCCATGCTTTGGAGGTGGCTCCAGCGCAAGCGTTACCACAGGAGCATATGGACAGGAGCGGTTCTTCCTGAAATTTGAATCACATGACCGTAGAGAGATCATGTCAGCGGTAGAGTGACATAATTGTAGCCGTCATCCTGCGGCCACTTCAAACATGTCAGGCATCGGCCAGTTGTGTCATGAGCTTCCGCAAGCTCGCAGGAGATGACGCTGTCCGGCCACTGCCTGGACACGACCTCGCCATTGCTTGTGAATGGAGTTCAGCTTGGCACACCCACGGCGGTTCAGCCTGTCTTTCAATCTCTGCAAGATTTCTCGGTAACAAGTCCTTCTAGGATGGCTGGCACACCTGAGTACGACATCCGCCGCAGTTTCTATGGCTTTGGAGATTATGCACACCAATTCATCGAGAATCTCTTTCATCCAGACAGAGGCCAGCCACTGTTTGGTGGGAACTCCGGCCTCACCAGCTTCACCAGCGACATCATCCAGAAGTCTGTGGTCTTCATGTCTGCCGCTAGACTTGGAATGGGGATATAGGGGCTTATGTAAGGATAATGGAAAAGACAATGGAAACTACTGTTTAGGGTTTAGGGTTTCCCAAAATTAGGGGTACCATTTTGGGGGTTTTTTTGAGAAGGATTATAGTATATTGGGGTCTATATGGGGGTCTGCCTATTTAGGTGAACTACCACTTTGGTGTGGAGAATTCAAAAATAGGCGTACTACGCAGGGTTTGGGTTTAGGGTTTCGGATTGTTTTGGTGTTTCTGGCGCATCAGCCGTTGGCTGGACATGTACAACTCCCAGCTTCCAGACAAATTGTGTATGGCCAAATCCTCCTCCATCCCCCGCGGCCATCGAAAACACAACTGCACATAGTGCTCTTGGCCCAATTTTCTCTGCGGGTAGGCTCGGACGTCCCTTTCCTCATGTTTGAGAGCACAGCCCCTAAGCTTGCGGAGAAAGAAAGAAGTCGTCAGAACCATCTGAAGATTCGGCGTCCTGTCTGGAAATGCAACCGCAGAGCCTGAAACGTCCGATCTTGTCCAACAAAATTATGGTCCCTTTTTGGGTTTCCGGGTAATACTAGGGTTTATATTAGGGTTTATATTGGGATAATGGAAAATAAAATGGAAGCTACTATAATGGGTTATATGAGCTAGATGCAGCCCAGGTTTGGATGGAAGTGGTGCACCAGATGGAATCAGCAGTGGGCTTCTGCCGAGATGCGGATTACGAGGAGTCGAGTCCAAACTGGCCATCGGACAATTGGGGTAGTTCATGACAGCAGTGGGCCCCTCTGATGGTGGCTCTGCCGTTTCTTCGCAAACCAATAAGAAAACAGGATAATGCAAATAAGCATAGAATGGCTGCGGTCCGGAAGCGGAGGATTCCTGGTACTGTCAATGATTGAAAATCTTCCACTAAGACTAGTATGACAATGATTGAAAATTCTCATGGCTTGATGTCCCTGGCAAATCGATACCAAGACAACAACGATAACGCCATTGCAGGCGATGCAGTCGCCAGGTGAGACTGCTTGATTGAACCTCTATATTATGGTATTAGTATATTCTGGTATATTGAAGTATATCATGCTATAGTATGGTATGTTATAGCATGTTGTGGTATGTTCTAAAAGCTGTCTGCTTCTGAGATGTGAAGCGCTGCAGGACAACCACCGGGAGTGCAACCTGGTTGATTGTGAAGGGACGGCCCAGCACAAGTGGGACAAGGCTGTGGCGTATTACGCGGGCTCGAAGTGGGAGTCTGACACAGAGGCTGTTCTGCTGGATGCGCTGGCCAATAGACTATGCAAAATGTTCGGAACATGCTCGGATGATGGGCTCTCAATGGTAAGCCAGAAGATTTTCAGGCATTTCCAAGACGGTCAGACGGCACTGAAGCAGGCCGAGTGCAGCAATCTGGTCAGCGAGAAGAACGGCATAACCTCCCAGCTGTATGTGCCGCTGATTCAAGACTTGCTCCGCGTTGCCCACGCACTCGCAACGGAGAGCGATATTCGAAGGGACCGCAGCCAGGGCATTTTTTTCGCGAAGATCTTGCAGCCAAAGCTGGCCACCTGCGATCAAGCAACTGCAGATCTTGTCGCTCGGAACATGCTTGTGCGCTGCCCAGTCGTTCAGAGTCGTTCAGATTTAAACGATGAGACCACGGCGTATTTTTCCCGGTTTGTTCTTTCGGATCAACATTGGTCAAGGTGCCAAGTTCTGAGCAGCCAATGCGGGACGGATTTGCTGAGGCCTCTTGGCTATGTTGGCTGTGGGGTTGTTGCACAGGTTGTGTTTCGAAAGCTTTGTGCAGGTGAAGCGAGCAGTCGAGCGGACCTACACTTGCCTGGGCCTGCGCTGCTGCAGCCCTAGCGGCCGAAGCACTTTAGGACCCATGAACCCCAAGACATGCAACAAGGGGACCACAGTCCGCGGCCCAGCTCCTTGAGAGATAAGGCGAAGACGTGGGTGGCATTTTGCAGCCAGACAATGCCTTGGTCAAGTACAACCTGAAGTACAAACCTGGAGCGGAGCCCTGTGGCTTCGTTTATTTGACCGACGCGGATCCACCGCCGGATGCACCAAGCGGAGTTGACGTCGGAGTGGTCGTGGCGATCGCGCTCGCTGTGGTGCTGGCTGTCGTCGTCGTGGGTCTTCTGGCCTGGAGGTTTGGCTTTGCTCGGGGCAAGGAGTACGGACGCTTCAGGACGTCTTGCTGATGCCCTTGAAGTCTCTTGCAGTGTGCACGTAAATCCCATACATGGCAGGAACCCTGGCGATGGTCCAGACCGTGGAATTGCTGCTTCACCCCTGGGGACCAATGGGACCAATGTGGTTGTGGGGGAGATTGTGCCCAAAGAGCAGCCAGAAGCTCCTGCACCAGCAGATGCTGCTAAGGTCTGAGGCCAGCCAGCTAGTAGGGGTGACGCCGGGCGGATGTAGCCGTCTGTCGTCGCCCAGGAGCACTGATTCCTAAGTGCCTTTTAAATGTACAGCGCTGTTTTTGGGGCAAGTTCCAAACCGAGACGTGGG